TACAGCACAATTGAAGTCTTCATAGAACACTTTTACCATCCTTACTATCTTGTTCGGGATTCCATATTTCTGCATAATTAACCATAGACTTTCACGGTGGATGGAATCAAATGCTTTTTCAAAGTCTATGAAGTTAATATATAAGCTTGCCTGCCACTCGTTTGCTTGTTCAATGATGTTCCTTAATATGAAAATCTGTTCTGTTGTTCCCCTGCCTTTTCTATACCCTGCTTGCTTGGAAGTTTTTAGACCTGACCTGCAACATGCCATGATTACCTGCACTTTACGAGCGCACGATTTTAAGAGGAAAAACTGTCTTTCTAGGACCCCTTAAGCCCTCTAAAAATATGCTCAGAAAGTCCATTCTGATTTGTTTATTTGTCCTCAAGAACAATAAAACAACAGGAGAACCAAAAAGTCTTCAGGGAGGGTAGGAAAGGCAATTGTCCCCACATGCTTTTTTTTTGGGTGGTTATGGGCAGCACAGAGAAATGGAGGAGTTTTTCGCATGGGCGGTTACGGACGGCACAGGCGTCAATGGGATAATATCTAATTATAATATCTCAAACAATGATTGCATCCATCATGTTTTAAGGGAATTAAAAAGAACCGAGCATCAGGTACCTGCCATGAGTAGCTTTGTGTTCTGAGATGAATCCAAGACCCTTAACCACATGTCCAAAGACTGACCGCCCCTTTCCTCTTCCTGTATGGTTGTTGCCTTCCATCTGATGGATTTGTTGCTCTGAACAAGCCTTTCTTTCATCTTCAGCTCTTTGAATTCTATCTGCCTACACAATTTCATGATGATTTAAATTATTACTATATTATTTGCGAAATTCCAGTCCGCATTAGTGGTGAAACCAAGCAGCACCGATTCAAATATAATTAAGATCACATTAAGTTTCAAGATCTCTATAAATAAAACAAAAAGATTCCCTTTTTGATAGGGTTCAGTTCTAGATACGGATCAGATGCTAAAATGTGGGTATGATCATCAATGACCCGTGTAGTCTTTGTCTCGTGTGCCACAATTTCATTGATTTTCTTACCACATTTTGATGTTATCTGTGTACCTATATATAGTTAACCAGATGATCATCAAAATGGAATCCATTTCTTAAATAAAACCATGACAGAGTGAGACCATCTCATGTTTGCTAAATATCTAGCTTGTTAATATTCTTTAAATTCAATCAATGTACATAGCTTATGCCAGGGGCCTAACAAAAACACTGCTAACTTTACTCACCTTCTTCTGTATATCATAGAAAATAGCTGTTAGTTTTTCCCTAGCTGTCAATATTGGATTACTTGCAGCAAGACTCCTTATGTAAAAGTACACAGAATCGAGTTTACGATTGGCTAACACTGCAATGACACCCAGCTGGTTGTAGGGTTTGCCATCCTTGGGAGCCAGTTTACTGGCTTTAAGATACCATGATCTTATGGAAGCCCAGTTCTGGTTTGGTTGAAACTGTCCTTGATACCTTTCTATGTCTCCAAGACATATCAAAATATGGTGCGAGCTCAGGAGTGCAAGTTTAGCCTAGAATGAACATTTGTAGCACATAGTAAAACAACACAAAATTATAAGTGGATGTCTGGGTTTTAATTGCAGAAAGTATTCTCAAGACAAGACTCTAACGTCAACTAAATACTCTACAACACAAGTAAAAGCTCAAATAAGTAGTATGTATTCTACAGAGTTCCATCATTGTTGAACTGCCATCCACAATCAAAGAATCAAAGTTTGTCCTAGAGCAAACCTCTTCTAGATATATTTTAAAGTCTTGCAATGGTAAAGAAGTGCTCAGGAAACATTTTCACCACTTTTGGACCACTTATTTCAAACACGGCCATGTTTTCAACTTGTTTTTCATTGGGTTTCTAAACCCATCCACCTGACCAGAATAAGATGCTCTGGTTGGGTTAGAGCTGCATGAATAATTAATGAGTTTGAGAAAGTATATTCTTACAGTCTCTCACCACATGATGGGTACATAAGCTCTCAAAATCAAGTTTCTAGTAGTGATAAATTCCCTTCAGTTATCCGCCCACTCAAAAGTCCTTTAACACTTAATTGTATGTGATTTTTACTACATGGAGCAGAAGTCAAGTTAAAGTAAGTTGTATAACCTTTGCAGAGCTTTCAATTATTGAAAGCACTGCACTTAATATTACAATATTTGAAGCAGGTGGCTGCCCCTATGCAGCACCCATCAGGGCACAATGCAAGAGCCATTATAACAACTCTTTTTGGAGGGCCAATTTTTGAAATCTGCTAATATTAGAGCTGGCAATTCACAACAGTATTGCAATCATCTCAAAGTTTGGCTTACAAGAGAGACAAAATTTTAACACCGTTATGTTGTCTCACTTTTGCCAAGCATGACTGATTCAAAAATTTAAATTGACAATGCAGCACTGAAATGGGTTGTTCACATACACTTCAAATTTCAAGACTTTACAGGGATGAATCGCTGCTAATCTTTAACTTCTTGCCATTTGTACAGTTCAGACAACTTTTACTGTACACTAGCTATTTAAAGTAAAAGGGAGCTCTACATGTATGTAGGCGATGAAAGGCAGTTTGCAAGTCACTGCATGAGCTAGCTCATGTGAGATGGGGAAACCACTTTTTGAAAAGTTTATGAGTTTGAATAAGAATAAATTCATCTAAATTCTACGGCTTTTACTTTGCTCAATATTTCACTTAGATACACATATATTTCAATCAATAGTAGTTTCGATTTTGAGACAGCATTAGCACATTATATTGGTGGCATTGGGAGAAAATATATTCTTTTATTATATGGCAAGATAGTCCTTAGGTAGATCCGAGCATTCTGATTGGTTCTATCTTGGTTGGGATTTTGCCATACGGGCTGTTTCCATGGAAACGGTCATAGGCTGTGTATTTTTTGTTTTCGAAAGTCGGCAAATTCAAGATTTGCAACTAAAACTACAAAAAGAAATTGTGTAAATACTCTCATTCTTTGCAAAGAAACCACCTAAAAGATTGATATTTTACAGAGCTTACCTGGACGAAGAAGACGAATATTTACCAAGAAAATTTTATTGCCCTTGAGATCTGGAAACGTCTAATGTAGAAACTGAAACAGGCATCGGCGAAAGTCAGGAGGCCATAGACGATTTTATAGACAAATGAAAAAGTGCAAACACAAATGAGAAGATAGCTACAGTCGAACCTCGATTATCTGGACTCGTTGAGACTAGATGAAATAGTCCAGATAATCGAGGGTCCGGATAATCGAAAATATGAATATTAATGAAGAACAAAACTGTTTAAATTAAGCAACATTTAATCGTGAAACAACACTTTTACAAATCGTTCGGAAAACAATATGGTCTACTGTACATCTTGAATCACTCAACTCTGAGCCAATCAGAACTCATTCGAGTGTTCTTCACTAGTTACGACGCATGTGAGCGCTGCTTTTGCTCTCTAAAAGCAAAACAAACTCCCTTTTGACTGCACTTTTCAACGCTATAGTTTTAAAAAGAATATTGCTAGGGATCTCAATCATGAGTAATAAATATTCACGACAAAATTGGCACTAGAGAAAAAGTCCAGATAATCGAGAAATCCAGATAATCAAGGTACGGATAATTGAGGTTCGACTGTACTGATATGAACACTCTTCTCCACTACCTGGAAGGTAATGGTATGACAAATGAAAGAATTGAAAGCATACCTGCAACAGAGCTTGACCACCTTTTGTCCAATTTTTTTTCTGACCACATGCAGGTAAAATGGAGAAGAGTACAAGCCAGCAACAATTTCCAATTTTCAGCGCAGAATTGACCAGAATAAAAAGAAGCATCAAATTGTTATCGAGAGTGATGAGGACGATTTACTTTAAGGCTACTTCTTCGTCAGCTGCATATAAGTTTGAATGATTTTCACAACAACCAACTTTGACTTTTCTTCATCCATATTTTGTGATGTGCAGGTTAAAATGTTCCAGGATCAACAGAAACCCTTCTCCAAATTTCAACAACATGCAGCTGTTGAGACTCCTGTCAAATTCCGTTATAAATCGTTCTTGAAGTCTTGTTTATATTCAATATCTTCAATAAACTAGTTTTCAAATTAAACTCGTGGTAGCTTGTTCTTTCTGAGTTGCTTGCGTCATCGAAAACATGTTACCGCGGAAGCCCTTTGAATTCAAGTGACCAGAAGTACGTTTTAAAAGAAAACAAACAAGCATGGCCCAAGTGCCATATAATAAGGTAAAGGTAAAGTCTGCATACAAGCCAAGTGGCCCACCTGACCAGGGCTTATCCCGGTTTCTGTAGCATGAAGCGACTAGGAGTATCTCTACTCCCCCCTGGATGGGGGAGAGTTACCCCCAGCATTACATTCGTCAGTACCCATTTATACACCTGGGTGGACAGAGGCACTGTGAAAGTAAAGTGTCTTGCCCAAGAACACAACACAATGTCCCCAGCCAGGGCTCGAACGCGGACTGCTCAATCCAGGAACGAGCGCACTAACCATGAGGCCACCGCGTCATATAATAAACTACTTACTAACTTAGCTAATTCGAGCCATACAGGGGAATATTGGCCCTCGGTCGTTTCTGTACGGACCTCGCTTTGCTCGGTCTGTACTGCCACAACCTCGGACCAATATTCCCTAGTACAGCCCTTGCGCTTGGTTAGTAAGAGGTTAGTATTGGGCACTGTTGCTATGCAACCCTACCTAACATGAGAATATATTTCAGGAATCCATATTCGTAGTCATCCAGTCATCTGAAACAACTAAAAAATGATAAGGACGACCAAAACAATACGAAAAGTCTACTAATAAGAGTTTAGGTTGACTCTACCAGAAGAAAAAAATTGAATTTTCTTATGAGTTGCCTGCATTCTGACCTCCTGACATCCATTTGGAACTTTTAGAATACAGAGATAGATTTGCAGCACAATAAAATCATCATTTTTGTCCACCATCTTTGATGGAATGGTATTCTCCATGAATGAAATCACTGCAGGCTCAATTTTCATTTTGTCAACTGTTGATGCTGTGTACTACATCTACTTCTGCGAGATTGCATCTGCTGTTTTGATCAGGATATCGTGTTTAGCAATGCTAACACTCCAGAAAAACAGCCAAATACAAACAGGAAGAGCAAAAGCATTTCTTTCAGCCTTTATGGCAGTCGGACCTTCAGTTTTCATTTGTACCTGGATTTCTGTGTCCACCGACTGCCGCAACTACCGACATGATGTTTAGGTAAAAGTAAACTTTCCATTTATATGTTGTTCGACTGCAATTCTTTCCTATTGAACAGGCAAGTAAAATTTTGCCAGGGCAAGTATATCATCTAACATACTTGCCTGGCTGACGGCTAGAGAAATCAAAGTGGCTACGAGCCACTCAACTTGGGAAATGGATCCTCTGTTAACAGTGACAATTTTGATGCCACTTGAGGTTTTAATCCGTAGGGTAAGTTAAAGTTGAACTGAGCCCACTGGTATTGTTACGAAATGGTGTAAAATGCAACGGTGAGAGAATACACGAGGAGATGTAACACTGTTGAAAACATTCATGAAGTTATCGGTCCAAGAGACTGAGACAATTACAAAGAAAGTACTGCTTTTCATCCAGTCACCAAAGCAAGTAATAAGTCTCATTTTTATTCCTCTCATTTTTTTTTTGTTCTTAATTTTCCCATTTTCTCTTTGTTTCTTTTTCTCATCTTAGAAATTTAAAGAAGTGCGTTCAGCGTAGAGTCACTATACCACAAGGACAGTACCATGTCTCGTCTGCTCAAGAAAGGTTAAGCCCTGTTTGGCAGGGTTAGTACTTGGATGGGTGACCAAATATGAGTACCCTGTGTTGTAATAACTTCTTTTTCTTTCTTTTTTTTTCTGTTTTTTTCCTTCCCTTTTCAAGGTGATATTAAAGACTGCAGAACTTCCAGCCTTGTGTAATGTCGTTTCTTCTACATGTATTTATCAACTATTTGTTCCTCATTTCACCATGTCCATATTTACATGTATTTATTTACAATAAAAATATAAATAAACAGCGGAACAAGTCGTTGAAATTCTCCTCAATTCTCTTGACTGTTGACTGTCTAAAACATTTAATCACAGCTTGAATCATTTGAATATACATACAGTTCATCAATTTTTTGACTTTCAATGTCTTCTTTTTCGGCAATTGACTGGGAAATGAGCTTTTGTTTAATCACAGGTAGCTTTTATTTATAAAAACACTCTTGCAAAAATTTATTCAATGTAAAGCATTTCTGCGATAAGATATTGAGTGCTTGCATCAGAAATTCAAAGAATACCTAACTTGACAAGGTGCAAGGGACCGTAAAACGGTCTTAAACGGCAGATGCTTGAAACCTGGGGGGAACTCCTATATTAAAAGGTCAGGGATGTTTGTTGTCTCGAGTATACATCAAGGATTCTGGTCTCACTTAGGGTGTTGACGACGAAACATCACCATTTTTAGCTGTCAAAGTAACCTTTAGGGTGCAGTCGAAGAAATAATAATTAAAAGAAACCCTCTCATTTAATTTCTGTTTTTAGGCTTGATTTCCGCTGATCTCTCGAGTACATGAGTTGAGTCTAATAGTGTGCGACAGATCCTTTCTTGAGCAGTGGCTAGTAATCGAACCAGAAGCTTATCACCTTGATTAGGTGATATGCTTCTGATCGAACCTATTCCGTTTTAAGTGGTAGCTTTTAGAGGTCTAATGAAGCTCGAGCAACTCCCATATTAGTCTCCTTTAGGAGTTAAGGTCATTCCTCACATTTGCATTGCGCATCCTTACTGCACATAATTTATGGCGTCATTAGCGCGTGCTTGTGCTCGCGCATATTGAAAACATGATGGATTTGCTTTGATATTGAGTTCTGTCAGTTGAAAAATGGCTCTAGCTCACCAACGAGCACGGGCACCCCAATTTTTTTTCCAGTCATTGTAATCAACTAATCATAAGCTTTGCGTGAGAAAAGACTGATCTAATTTCTATTGCTGAAAATTGAATAAATAAGAAAAATAGCAGATACACTGTGGTCTTTTCTATTTTGCAGTCGGTAACCGCGTCAAGAAATTTGGTTCAAATTTTTAATCAAGGATTTAACTTTGTGCCTGAATCAAACTTAAAATGTTTATTTGTGTCCGACACAATGTATTGACTGTAGTTTAATGCGTGTTCTTATGAGTCTGGGTTCACANTTATTTCAAAATTGAAGTTATCATATGACAAATATTCAGTGGACAAAGTTTGAACAAAAATCTATTGTCACTTTTATTTCAGAGGAATTACCTTAAATTCAAATTTTCTGACGAACATCCCTGACCTTTTCATATAGGAGTTCCCCTGCCCCTGGGTTTCAATTGTCTAACAGGAAGAAAAGACTTTTGTTTCTCTTTGGCCAATCAGATTCCATGATAGAATGAAACCCGAGTGCTCCTCGCAGCGAATACCTCACGCATTAGTTCTAGGGCTACTTGAGCTAAACTGTGATTGGCTTAAAATTCCTACGTCACAGAAAGTGTTTCCTGGCTCGGGTTCGCAGATGTTATTTTCGGCGGAGAAAAGCGACAGCCGGAAATACGTCTGCGTTCGCAGGCTAGCCGATATAGTGCGGTACTGCTGTCTCAAAATCGTGTTTAGTTCATTTAGTTTATAGAATATCACCAGAGCCCCAGCAGGTGCTAGCTGGTCTTCTCAAAAGCACTGCCTTTGCAAGCAAGACATATATCCTATCAGATGTTTCGGTGTGTAGTATTGCTGAGAGTTTTTATGAGTTGTGCCATTAAAAATTCTCAGCGATACCACACATCAAAACGTTTAATAAGCGATTTATCATCCAACAATTTCTTGTTCCAAAATTCTGACTTGCCAAGTTTTTAAACTTTTAGGTGGCCAGGAGGAACGAGATGAGTACAAAGATTGTGTGATATTTGTACTCGTTACATGCGTTATTTGTACTCTACAAAGCAGAGTTGGATAATAATTCATAAGGAAGCAAAACATTGTGTGAAGCTACAGTACTTACATTCTTTCCAAGGTTCTCTGCTTTTCTTGGTTGGTTAACCACATCCTGAACTGAGAATTCATGTCCCTTCTGTAGAAACTCAAGTAGACCTTTATAAAATGTCTCAGCATCTTCTAGGAATTTCTTCAGACAGTTATTTATTTCTTCCTGTGAAAGCACCTCTGTTTTTCCTGCATATCCCAAAAAAAGCTTTCCATATTTCCTAAATGTTTCAATCACTTTATAAAATGCATTTCTCCAAAGGTTCTGATCAACATCTTGTTGAACTGCAAAACCAACATCAAGCATAATGATTCCTTTGTATGCATCCTGAATTTCTTTACTAAGGGTACAAATTTTCTCAAAAGCTGCCTTGTCAAGTATGTCTCGAGATAACAAATTACTCAGCATCATCTCTTTCTGGGCAACTGCTCTCATTAATTTTTGAGCTTTTTGATGATGTAGAGATTTAAGCTTTTTTTCAACTTTAGTGTGGTTGTCAGGTCCCTGTTCATTTTCTTGGGGTGAGTCCTGATTGTCTACCCATTCCACCCAGTTTTCTTTACTTTGAAAAATTCCTGTTTCAGTTTTTTCTACTGTTCTGCAATTCTCTTTTCTTTCTTGGTCATTTTCTCTGCTAAAATGAACTTCTTTGCTCTGCAGACCTTGATTCTCTGGATAATCTTGATCATATTGTCTATTACTAGTGCTTTTTCTAATTGCTCTCTCTTGAGAAGGTGCATCAGTTTTAAAAGGTTCCTTTTCCTCGCTTTTGTCAGGAATATTGAAATCAAAGCCCTCCGGTAATTTGATTATCCCTCTCGGTTTAGTCTCCTTGGGTGATTCTGTACCATGAACAGGGCCTTTTGATAGCTTCAAAACACCACCAGTTCGTGCTCTTAAATCAAGTTCATAATTATCAGACTCTTCTCCATCTTTCGCGCCCTTTGTTTCTTTTCTCGATTTTCCTCCGTGCTTTCCAACGTCTTTAGATGCATTCACACTGTCGCCATTAGAAACGGTGGCTTTGTCCTTATTGTTCACATTATTCTCTCCATGACATGATGATTTTCGATTTGGTTTTGGTCCTGACAGTTTCTTTTTCTCCTTCTTTGATTCTTTTCGAGTTTTTTCTTGAATCTCTTCATCCATGCGATGAGTAAAGTTACTTTCTTTACATTCAACCTCGTCTTTCTTGAGCGAAGTATTCTTGCTGACGTCAGTTGTGTCTTTCTTCTCGAGTTTTTTCACAGGCTTGGACTCATTTTCTTCAAATTCTCCCTGATGTTTCTTCTTAGGGTTTTTCTTTTCTTCCTTCCTATCTAGACCGTCGGCATAAGCAACTAGTTCTTCATATGTAATTCTTAACACAAGAGGTGAACTGTCCAAAAAACTGTCCCCGCTTGAACACGCCGCCATATTGGAATAACTAGTGACCAGTCTCCCAGACCGATACCCGCGAAAATGTTCTTATAGGTTTTCTTCAAACTTCTACTGCGGACAGATGATGAATTACTTGTTTCAGAAATGAAAAAAATGGATCATGACTTCGTTTCAGAGATAAAAAAAAAACTAGCTTTGAAACAATTTTGAAAAATTGACGCGCGTAAATCAGCATGGTCTCCAGGGTTTTTAGCTTAAAATATCAGAGGCCCAGTTCAGACGCGAACTTTTCATGAGCCGAACTTAATTGACCGACCCAAACTATCAAAAGTAGGCCTGTTGATTCAGACGTCGAACTTAATTTAGTTTGAACCAAAACACATCGAAACATCAGCGGTTTCCAGGCAAGGTGTATGCATTATGTTCGGCACATGAAAAGTTCGACGTGTGAATCCAAGCCGTTCCAAAGCCGAAATTCCCGGCTAAGCTAGGCGGGAAGAACGGCTGAGCCGTTCCAAATTCAAATAGCCGCTCTTAATAATTAATTAAGGTCATTCCCCAGTATTGCATTGCGCATCCCTCCTGCGCATAATTTCACGTGTGATTAGCGCGCGTGCATTAAAAATGGCGACTTTTTCTTTGCGGCTGGACCTCGCCATATAGGTAAATCGAAAACTTCTAATCAATAGATTTTCTTCATTTCTTCGCTAACGTAGAAATTCGGTAGAAAAAAATGATCCATCAAGAGAAGAATAGGGGTCACCGAACGTCCAAGATCGTTAAATCCAGGCAAAGCTATAGCAATGGCGCGCGCTCGATGCATGACAGTTTGCGTGCGCCGTAAGGATGCACAGGAACAATTAGCGCGAGCGTCCCTAACCCTAAACCCAAAATCGATACATCGGTCAGGATAGAGTTAAGGTGATTCCTGTAATGTATGCGTTTCGGTTTCCGCCTACAATAACAAGAAGATCTTTAAGATCTTATAACCGCGCTTTCTAAAAACAAAAACTGAAATAGTGTTCAACATAACCTGCCTCAGCACGTTTGCGAAAATCTATTGGTTCCTTTCAGAGGTTTCTTTAAGAGCGCTCGGCTAACCTCCAGGTATGATTTCCGTACAGCTCCATACATTAATTATGTATGCAACTGTCTCAAACTATCACAGACTCAAATAGCAATCGGGAAAAGAACGAGTCACTCAAAAAAATTGCATGCACAATTAATGTAAGGGGTGGTGCGAAAATCTTGCCAACCTCCTTGTCAAAATAAGAGAGCCCCTCTGTCAGTTTTGTCCGCATAGTATAACTTCCACTGACAGAA